TGGACACGCCGACTGGGAGGCGCGTGCAGCGCGAGGAATTGGAGCGCGCCCGACGCCACCCCGGGCGGGGACGACCCCGGCGCACGGCAGGCGTGTCGCAACAGGCGGTCACAGCGGACTGGTGCGGGGGCGGCGGCCGCCAACAGGTGGCGCTCGCACGCGGACGGTGTTGATGCAGGAAATGGTACACCGGACGCGGCGGCATACACATGCAACAGCGGCATTACGGGATTGTCTTTAAATACCTATCACCAGACTAAATCTTACTTGGGAGAGCTGCACACAGGCGAAAACCTCATTTGAAACCTCAATCATGTTGGGGCGTTTGTGGTGCATGCACGTCAGCACTAACTCAGGTGTTTTTTTGTGTGTGTTTTTTTTAGGGGACCCTCCAGTCTGCTCTCTGACACAAATTTCCATATTTGAAGACTATTGCCGTTTGAAGTGTTAGGGATGCCGTTTTGCCGGTTCTCTCCGTTCCCTGCTATTTTTTTGAAACATCAGAGACACCGGTTGCAAATGCAGAAAACAGTGCGGCAAACAGGACGATGCGTTTGATGCGGGGAAATAATTTTGCAATGATAATAGCCACGGCAGCAAGTCCATGGGGCCATGCAGATGTGTAAATGCCAGCGGCGATCCTAATTACTGGTCGTTGGCATCTTGCATTACCAGTTTGCAAAAGGATGTTGAGTCATTGACAGTTAATCTCAGGATGTGACCTTTCATCTACAGATGGGAAGGACTTGATCGCAATTATCTGCAGATGGGAAGGACTCGATCGCAAGATTGTAAACCCCGAGCAGTGCATCATTTTAGGAGGGCTGGACAAAACTGTTCGCGATCCGTTTGAAATACGGTTGTGATTTTGAGTTGAATTATGAACTGTTGCGGCCTTCACAATGCAATAAGAGCTTCAAATGTCTTTCAGCAATAGGATTTCTTTGAATATACATTTCTTCCCTTTTTTGCTCTTATAAGGAAGCTGGAAAAGATGTTATGGTGAGTCAGTCACAAAAGCTCTTTTTCAGCACAACGGGTCGGTCGCAGGATGTAAAATGCGTCTTAATTAAATGTATTTAGCTCGTTATTAACGCGACGCCACTTTCACAACCGTAGTCTGTCCAGTGCAAACGCGAGAAAGTGGTGCCAATCAACGTCAGGCAACCCTTCCAATTCGTACATCCGTCCGTTGCAAAGTGTGGCTCTGAATTGCGTAGCAGACTTCGAGTATGAAAGATTCCAAGCCGATGCGCACCTGCAAGTACACTCTTGAATCAGGGCTTCAGTCGGAGCTGTGTCCCTGCTGGTAAACGAAGACGAAGTAGGCAGGCCACCCCTTTGACGCCGTTCTTAAAAAGCACCGCACCGGCGCGTGATGCACGTGCAGCGGCGGTCAGCATGATTCTCTGTGACGCATCACCGCTGTCCTATGACACGAATGGTGCGCGGCTGTGCTGTATGTTGCTTTTGTTTGACCGTGATTTGTTGCGATTAGATAAGACGATCCTGTTAGCTAATTCCTCGTAGAAAAACCAGGAGAAAAGAGAGATAGATGTATCGATTTTTCGGTGACATGTCTTTACCAAGACGAACAGCAGTGGTGTCCACAACAATGACTACTAATATTCGTTAGGATAAAGGCACGTAGCCGAAATATCAATACGTCTATCTTTCCTTTCACCCAAGTATTCTACGAGTAATAAGGCTAACAGGTTACAGGTTAACAAGCTCACATAGGGCTGCTGTCTTGTCTGTATGCATAATGTTGCCCGCAAATGCCGATAACAATTTCCGTTATTTGGTTGCGGTTCATGGTTTGCACAGTGGAACCTATCGCCCACCGAGGGATTGAGGACTTGATTTGTTATTCTCCTATAAAACGGCTTAAGGATTGGACTGCGACCCCTTTAAAAACGGCCTTACCCTACCATGCCTCACATACGCATATGGACCATTAAAGTTCAATCCAGGATCTTTTAGTGCAGTGTTCCCATTTTGTCGCTAAAATATGTTATGCGTTCGAGAACTGCACGCACTGTATGTCCAAAAAAGCCTGGAATGTCTCCACAGCCAAAGTGACGCTAAATCCACAACAGTCTGAAGTGCGTAGCCGAGCCGGGGCTTCAAGAATTAAATGGTTGGAACACGTGTTCCTCGGAATGGTCCACGCCCGGGCAGTACCCGCCGTCCCCTGGTCGCGGCTTTGGCACGGGACGCGCAGTGGTGCATGCAACAAGCCGTTCCAAACAATGGCGCCTTGAATGGGCGCCGACGAGCGCTACGCCGCCAGACTCCGCGGCACCGATGTACGTCCATGTTAGACATGTTCTGCCCGTTACAGGTATGCTGGTATTGTCGACGTGCATTGTGGTGCATGATGAAAATGTCTTGCACTTCCTCTTCTAACCTAATCCACAGGGCCTTGCTGCGCGGGGGCGGTACTGGTAACGTAGATTAAAAAGGAGACAATGGTGCTATAGGACAGCCATCAGATTTGTCCTTTCTTCTGCATCCATGTCAGCGGTGTGGTACGTGTCAGCGGTAATGTATCTAAGCAAGAACATTACTGCTCTCAAAAGATAGTCAGTTTGTTGATAACGAAAAACCCCCAACCTTGCCATCACTAAAGCAATGGTTGAACCGTTTCAAGCGCTGTTCGGCAGAAACAACGTGATACTATATCATGAATAGGTTTATCTCTCCTGGTTGGGCCGTTCGTGTTAAATAATAAAAAATAACAGCGTTAAATAATATAATAAATAAATATAGATTAATGAATAACCAAATCGATAAACAATAAATTAATAAAGTATTAATAATCATTAAATAATTAATAGATTAATAATAACTATTAAATAATCAATAGATTAAATAATAAATAAATAATAACAGCGTTGCCATACTTTTTACATCAAACTTTCAACATGAAAAACGGCGAAACAAGACATAAGTACCCTGAATATTCATTCAACACTCATGCGTCGCGGGGCGGTTTTCGTTCCAAGTCACCTCTTCAGTTCCATGAAAGCGCTCCGCCCGCGAAAAAAAGTTAGCGAAATTGCGAAGAAAACTTCGCATGCGTTGTCTTGGTATCGAACTAGGTGGTTATGAGGAAATGCAAATGCCTACTACCCTGACACCCCGCGGCCCGCTACTACAGTCGGCTTTGGAGAGACCATTGGAGAATAACATACAGGTCTTTCGGAAGTGTCTGAGTGCATCGTACCCACATCCCGCTTGGATGCAGCTCGATTGCTCCGAAAAGATCACTCAGTGTGACATGTCTGCTGCCCATCCAGATAAACAACCATGACATGGTTATCGCACGAGGTGTGCCGCCGCGGAACGGATCCGGAGCCGGCGCGCTCTTCTGAGGAGCGAGGTGGCCCCTCACCCCGCCTTCGCCAACGACACAATGCAAGGAGCCGTGCTTAATCGGACCCGTTTAGGATAAGCCAAAACATCAAACTCGCCCAGACATACTTGAGTGGAAGCCAAGTACGTCTCTGATCCCAGCAGCGGTCACGCTCCGGTGTGGGGTCAATTTCATCCTCGAAGGCTTTCCCGAAAAAAGCTTCCCAACGGCGTGACGGAGTCGCGCCGTTCTTTCCACAGCTATAGCCAATTGAGTGGCCAACCTTTTGGTGCCAAAAAATGGATGACTTTGCAAGGATGTACCTTTCTTGAACTACAGCAGGTCAAAGACAGGTCGTGACAGTCAGCAAAGGTAATTCTCCAGGAATCTTTCAATATGACGAGACAACGTGATGTTAGACGAATTCATACCACTTTAAGATGGTGGGTTAAGAAACAGGATCATTGCAATTAGGGTTACGACTCATTCCATAGACCTTGGGTTACGTAAGAAGTCAGATAAAGGTAGAAAATAAGCCTCTTTATGCATGTTAATCTTGCCTTGTAAAGGTAGGTTTTGTCGCTCACTTTGAAAATCATGCTTCACTTCGTCAAAATATTTATTGTCTTGACTTCATCAAGCTCAGGGGAGGTAACTGACCTGAAATGACCTCAATCAACGGTTTGCCTTAAGAAGCATACCGTCCAGGATTATATTTGGAGCCAATGGCAGATTCGGATATCAAAAAAAATCCCGCAGGTCTTTGGCTTTTTTACCTTATTGAGGCCAGATAAGGTCACTGCCCTAGCATGAATACCACTGGCATTTTGCTGATAAGCGGTCTATGGATCAAGGCTGGCCACGTGGGGAGATCACAGGGCACACCGGAAACCGACTGGAGATTGACGTTACTCGACCTTATTTGACCCGAAAGTCACGAATTCAAGACCTTTAAAACTTGACACGGGTGAGTTCAAACTGGACCCTCCGTACCCTGTGAATTTGGTGCCTTTTATAAATCTCAGGGAAGCAAAATTGCTTCCCTCCCCAACCGATTGCGGCGCATTTAACCGGCCGCCCGGACACGTGTCAAATCCGGGTCATAAAGCACTCGTTGCACGAAATTGGCGATCCCATAGAGGTAAAAGACAGGCATGGGAGACCTCAAGATCTTTCCCTTACATGTCATTATTGTTTTTAGCTCGCTGGTACGTATTATGCGTAGTGTACTGGCAATAGCATTTCTTAAAGACGCGGGGGGAGGCCGCGCCAGATTTGTAATGCAAACAGCAGGAGTCTGCATGTCTTAAAGTAGAAACGACAAAGTGCATGCAATTGAGTTCACAACCAACAACAAAAATATCAGCACATGATACGAGTAGTGGTCTCGTGGTCGTACCCGTTCCTCCTGCATCTCCAACAATAGTGAGACGCCTTCCTCACGTGACCTCCGTGACCGCTCTAGCTCACCCCACGCCCTCCCCACGTGACCTCCGTGACCGCTCCAGTTCACCTCACGCCCTCCCCACGTGACCTCCGCGTCCGCCCCAGCTCATCCCACGCCCTCCCCACGTGACCTCCGTGTCCGCTCCAGCTCACCCCACGCCCTCCCCACGTGACCTCCGTGACCGCTCCAGCTCACCTCGGCGCCACTGTCTGCGTCGGGTCTGCATGTTCAGCATCTCCGGGCCGGCTGCAGGTCAGCGCTGGTCCACGCGAGCAGATCCCGGGCCGCCGCCGCACCGTCCCGCCACAGTGCCGGCCGAGTCACGTCCGAAAACTGCGCTGACAGATCCTCTTGGTCACGCAGGTCCCTCGTCTGCGTCTGGCAGGTCCTCAGCCTGAGCCTGACCGATCATCAGCCCTGTCTGGCGGATCCTCAGCCTCCGTCTGGCCAATCCTCAGCCTCCGCCAGAAAGATCCTCGGCCTGTGCCTGGCAGATTACCCGCCAACGCCAGGTGGGTCTTCAGCCAGCGCCTGGCCGATGCTCAGCCTCCGCCTTGCCGATCCCCAGCCTGCACCAGACGGACCCTCAGCGCGCGCCTTTCAGCGTCTCACTGCAGCCGGGCGTCCCCGGAACAGGCTACGGAGCGCGTCACACACGGTGCCCGGGTCTAACTGGATCGTGGCGCGCCCCGCGGCGCGGAAAGCGCGCGAGCTGCCATGACCGGCGGCTCATTAAAATACCGCTGCGTGTCCCTTTATGGTGTCCGACACCGCACTGCGGTGCACGGCCGGCCGAAACCCCGTCTGAGGCCGCTGCGAGGGCATCGCATGTCGTCCCTAGTAACGAGCGCGATGTCAGGCGGGAGTTGCGGTCGCTCCCTTCAGCTGTTCGGCACGTGGACGGGCAACATGCTGCCGACCGATGCTCTCGCCTTCTGTCGTAGCGTTTCGACTTTAGGTGTTTGTATTCCTGCCGGAGGGTAAGCGCTGCCTGAAGGCGCGGCGCCTGTGGCGGCGCAGAGCCGTGAATCGTACCTGCCGGGTCGGAGAGTTTCCAGCAGTTTGAGGTATGACGGCGTCAGCTAATTAGTCCCAGTCACTCCAGTACCATTCAACGCCCGACGCACTTGCGGTTTCCGTAACTGTCACCAGCGGGAGCTGGGCGGCGCCAACGGTGAAGCGTGGGATAGCGTTAAACGTAAGCGCCCCTTTGGAGGAGGGCGCGTGACAGGGCAGTTGTAGTAGGACAGCAATAAGACTGGAATGTGCGGTATTCAGCGGTACGACGACCGAAGCCGAACACGTTTGTGTGCGACAGAGGTGGGGAGGGAAAGAACCTGGCCCGGCTCTTGCTGCAGCCAAAAAGCTCACAAATGACTGAGAATCACGGGAAGGTGACAGGCACGCATGCAGAGCAGTGGTTAGGCGGCCAAGTTCTGAATTAGTTGATACAAACTAAAGAAGTTAGAGCTTCCGGCACGATGCGAGCAGTTCTGGATCCGCGTATTTGTGGCCCGTCATCCCTGACGTGAATATAAAGACGGACGTTGCAGCGTTTGTGAGCCACCGGTATGCATCGATCAATGTCATCCAGTAATGTCGTAACACCGCATTTAAAATGAGACGCCGCAAATAACCAATTGCAGGGTTGACAACTGAAATCGCACAGGCACCAGGTTATTTAATGGTATCCACATTTCACTTCCAAATGCTTAGCTAAATGCTGTACGCCATCGACAATGTCTGTAATTTCCTCTTGCGTACTGCTTTTGAAACAATAGTAAAACAGCACGGAGAGGGCAACTAAAAAACCGTGCCGTGGCATTATAAGGCAACTACAAATATTTCGTTGGAGGTCATTCCAAGACTGGCATCGGTCGACTGCGGCGGTGGCACCAGCCGTTTGCAACAGCAAGGACGCCGATACCAAACATCTCTGCAAAGCATGCCATTACATTTTCGCACACACAAAAAATGGAGGGAGGCGTATTGACACAGGTTTCACTCCTAAGCAGACCTTGGCAAAGTCTGCTGCTGGTGCTAATGTGCTGTAGCCGCTGCATTGTTCCAAGCGCTGGGGTGTTCAAAGCAGCGAGATTCCTCGAGCATAACGCCATGGCCAGGTCACGATGTTCGTGCGACTCTCTACTTTTTAAGCCCACTGCTTGGAGTTCATCAGTGAGAGGCCGGCAGTACACGGAATCGGCATGGTGCAGCTTGTCATCGCTTGCTTTGTTAGTTCGTGTTTGAAGATATCATGTCAGGAAGTGGAATGTCACCCTGGACTTCATACAGAAGCCCTGAATCAGCATTCTATGAGCTAGCCCAGGTCGTAATCACCATCCCCTGCCGCAACCGAGGGTCCAAACACTAGGCCCTATTACCCAGCGGCGCCGCAAGCACGTGAGTCAGACCGTGCATACCGCGTTAAAAAAGAACGCGATGCGTACCATCGCATCGTGCGTGATCACTGTATTCACTCTCTTCCAAGCAAAAACGACAATAAACTGATAGGCATAGAACGAAGGTAAAGCAGCGTATTTAAAGCCCGCTTTGCTCTCCGAAGAGAGCAGAGTATTGTCAAACGCTGCGAAGCTCCTGAATGACCGTAATGCCCCGGCATTCACCCATCTTGCTTAATGTGGCACTCAGAATAGCCCAAAGCGTTAAAGCGATGTGAAAAGTCTGGAATACGTCATACCTTTACCTAATGAATGAACCGGTTCAAACTAATCAAATACTCTTCCAAGACATGCATGCTAATTCACCGCAAGTCAAAGGGAATGTTCCACATGTAGCGATATTGAAGCAAGCATCAGATATGTTAAAACAAGCTCACCTAAAAATGTTGGTGTGCTACTAAATGGAAACAGATTGTTCTAGACCGCACAATGTCTGTGTTTAGAAAATGTGATCTTCCATACGTCATTGTTTAATAGCGTCATCGTACTTTGTACGACATTGATTGGGAGTCAATTGACGTCCTTTTATCTGGAAATCGTGTTCACGAACGCGAGTTATGAACGATTAGACGATTTTATTAATTTCGACGTTGATCGCTACATGGCCAGTGGAATGGCAGGATTTAAATGATGTTTTTATGGCGTCATGGATATCTGGGTAACCTTGAAATAGTCTCCGCGAAAAAGTTACACATCTTAGCGGGCGGGTAGCTCAAAAACTAGAGGGGGCGTATTTTTTAAGAAGGGGAGAACTGTTAACTGTACCGAATGATCTTCAAGATGCTATTCAGTTCAGCCCATACAAATAAAGACCACTCTGTTTTAAAAGAAATAAACATTTCATTGCGAAGGTTCTCGATGGAATCAGTAGCGCAGGGCAGGGGGGCGCATGGGCACGTGCCCCCCCCCCCCCGCCCCTAGGTTCCGAAGGGCCCCGAAGGGTCCCTCGGAATCTGCAATTAAGGACTCAAAAAGCCAGCCAAAGGCCTCATTCAGGGACCCTCGGTCCCAAGGGCCGGGCAACCAGATGCCAGCCAGAGAACCCTGTACGCTGATCGAGGCCCACTGAGTCGAAAACGGCCTACATTAGATCAGACGCCGCCATGTACACACAGACGGCTCCTTGGTTGGCATGGGCCTGAGGGCCCATTTCCCAAGCAGGTGACAAAAGCCGGAGCCAGAGAGATTTACATTGCCGGGGCCCCACAGCCCCTAGCAGTGGCCCTGTGTCGTCAAGGGGCCCCGAGTCGGCCACAGACAGTGTTCGAGGAGGACCGAAGAGCCTAGAGGGCCGACTCGGTCCAACGATCAAAGGCCCGATTGGAGGGTCTAAGGGCCGTAAATGGCTGAACGAGTCTTGTTAATGGGCCACCCCCTGCGACGATGGATCCTCAGATAACGATCAGAGGGTCCTTTGCGCTATCGGGGATCCCCTGAGTCGATATGAGCATATATGTCGATCATGTACCACCGTACCACATAGTCGGCTGGGTGACAGAATGGGCCCTGAGTACCCACTTCCCGATCAGCTATAAAGCCGGTGCCAGTGATATACACTGGTCGCGGGCCTTGTACCTGTCAGGGTTCCACAGCGCCTAACAGAGGACCCTCGTGCTCACGAGGGCCCCGGGCCGACAAGGGAAGTGTTCGTTGAGGCCCGAAGAGTCGCCTGGGCTGCCCACTGGAACCTAAGATCAAACGCCCGGTTAGAGTGCATAAGGGCCCGAAGGACGGGATGTAGGTCACATAAAGAATCGTAGCCCGCGGGTCGTGACCTAAAATATCAGTCAGACATCCTCTAGCACCGTTTAAGGCGCCGACCAAGTTTCGATGAGACCGGAAGAGGGGCCCGGTCGGCAGACCGGCAACCAATGATCAAGGACTCGATTGGAAAGTATAAGGACCGGAAGCATTGACTGTAGGTCACATAAATAAGTGCGACCTGCAGGATCGTAACCTGAAATACCAGTCAGAGATTTTGTTTGCACATTTGAGGCCTCCGGAGACAATGCGGGGGCGTCTTTGAGGCCTCCGGAGACAATGCGGGGCCGTCTCAGCCGGTCAGAGGCCACGAACACGGACAGTCGGCTCATGTTCGGTCTGAGCCCGTGAGACCCATTTCCCGAGCAGAAACGAGGCCCGGGTCCGCGATTTGCAATGTTCGGGGTCCTTGACGCAATGAGGGGACTCCTGTGTCCGGTAAGGGGCCACAGTTGCCGAACAGGTGTCCCTGGGGCGGGCAAGTTGGCCCCGAGTCGGAGTCCTGTTTAAGGGGCCCGAAGAGTTCCCGAAGGGTCTCTTGAGACCAAAGATCAAGAGCCCAATGGGATAGTTCAAGGATCCGAAGGGCTGACTGTCGGTCACATTTAGGACCCCCGCCCAAAGGGCCGTGATCTCAAATGTCAGGAAGATGATCTCTTGTATCGCTAGGGCACCCCTGAGACAGAGCGTTCCTCTGTTTCAGCCAGAGATCACGAACAACGAACAGTCAGCTCCGTGTTGGTCTGAACTCTGGGGACCCATTACCCAAGCAGGAACAAGGCCAGGCCCGCGACTTACATCGGTCCGGCTCCTGTATCGTTCTGGGGCCTACGGCGGCTTAACAGGGTATTCTGTGAGAACAAGGGGCCCCAAATCAGCCACGAAAGGTTTGTTCAGCAAGGACAGGAACGGGAGCCCCGAATGGCAGAGGGTCTCTTGCGTTGGCCAGGGCCCTCTGACAATGGGAGGAAATAAGAACTTATGATCAGTGTTCACATTGAAGCAACAAGAG